GTTGGGATAACTAGGTGRATTGAAACTGCAAAAATTTGTAGAAGCAGAGAGAACTGAGGTTTTCCTGCATTTATCAATTTATGGTAAGAACAAACAAACCACCCTTTGTGGGTGAGGGCCTGCTTGGTTCCACGTTTCTCCAAAGCCTTAGAATCAATGGCTAACAAATGATCCTTAAGAAAGTTAGTCTGGCTTAGACATCTCCTTTCACCCAGTTCCTTGTTCCTACCCTCCTCGTTCTTAACTTGCTCTAAGCTTTGTCCTGATTACTCTCTTGCCTTCAATGGATCCAGCTGACCCAAACTGATAGCATGGCAAATCATCCTTAGCAAAGGGAACAAGGTGTTCTCATTGCACGGACCAACTGAGAACACTGACAGGGTGAAAAAAAGACCCTGTACCTGCAGGAGCCCTCTCACAGCCAGTGGGACAATTCTCAGGGCTCCCCAGGCTACTTTCTGTACTGAGCCTGCAAACTAAGAGCTGGACATAACTTGACCTTATAGGTTTTTCCTCAAATGCTACTACTATTCCTCATTTCCTCAAATGTTACTACTATTTTCTCCTTTCTGACAAGGTGTTATCATGGGATGTGGGCAAAATTACCCCTCAAAAGCTACCAAACCTGAAGGGCATAGTGAACCTGCAGTCTGGAGCCCCCAAGCCAGAGGAGAATCCAAGCTTAAACATCCAGTTTAAGATACAACAGCTTGCAATTTCAGGTGAGTGGGGTGTGCTACATGAAATGGGTGCTGGCAGAATGAGTAGAAGTAAGAAATGAACATTTAATTAGAGATACAGATCTGAAGTCAGCTTGGTCCAAAATGATAAAGACTGACTTAACCCAAACCTGACAGTTACCCTTGCTGGAAGATTCCTTTGTTAGCAATTGTTAATTCCCAGTTGTTTTGCTCAAGAGACACTAAGAAGTATACAGAAGAAAGGATTTTTCTTTGTTGACTGGGACATTAAATATGCAAATGTATCCCTTTAGTGAAGATCRATGGATGATTTAGTGTGTTAGTCCTGATTTGCTTTAGCATTGTACTACTAAAGTTCTTTCTGGTGGTCATAAAAATCCATTACATTTGAACAATGYCCCTCTTACTCTTTCCTTCTGGAGMTGGTTTGTTTTTCATCTTTAAAACAATCTGCAARTAAAAGCAGAATGAAGTCTATAGCRTAAGYGCAAAAGTAAATTTAAAGCAGACAAAGCCTGTCTGCAAACACTTAAGTCATWTGAGTTGTCCCTGTGTAAAATGCTTCTCCAAGCAAGCTTTGCAGGKTTAAGCCTCTTAACAGTGCAAGGACTCACACTGGGAGAGGAGAGGATGACTGAAGGCAGTCAATGAGAGTTGGTGGTAGTGCATGCAGTACCTTTCTGGATAGGTACCAGGCTATGGTCTTTTTGGCCCCTAGACTAAGTACTTAAAGTAAATAACAGTTAATTCTGGTGTAAGAACAGAATCCTGCTGCTTCCTCTTCTACTAGTTTTAATCCAGCAAGATAGAGTTGGTTCAGTGGCTGCAYGCCAAAGATACCTGTGAGAAAGCAGGGAACAACCTGAAGCCATAAGTATTTAATAGCTATTGGCCTTCTTGAAGGAATAGCAGAGGGATTGCTGGTTCTTGCAATTACATCTTGGAGTGAAAAGAATTCTGAAATGCATCCTTTGCTTCCTTCATGATCGGAAATGAGTGCAATGTACAGTAGCTGTGAAAGACTCATTTGTTCCATACTTCATCTCTTAGAAGGASGATGTTGGTTTATAGAGTAAAAGACAGACAAGTTGTTGCCCTGCCAAGACAGCTATGATTAGGTGACAAGAATGTTCTCATGTGCCACTTCAAACAGATGAACTTGTGAAAGAAAGGGAAAGGARCTTCCTAACCAATGTGCTCCAAGAAAGCTGKATTTCTAATCAGAYTGCTGTGATTCCTAGCATTCTGCTTTTAACTTGGTACTTTTATCTGTTTTTTCAGGACTGAAAGTGAATCGCCTTGACATGTATGGAGAAAAATACAAGCCTTTTAAAGGTGTCAAATATATTACAAAAGCAGGAAAATTCCAAGTCAGGACATGAGAAGATGYTAAGAGGGAATTCCCCATACAAAAACTTGACTGCTTAGTGACTTACGTTGGTTAGGTGCCAATTAAGTAATAGACACTGATTAGTTTGGGATCAAAGCATTTGTGCACAGCAGCTCTTAAAATGAAAGCATAGCTTAGTTTTTTCTTAATATGGCTTTAAAATGAGGTACTTTTTTTCTATTACACTTTCACTCTTTTTTTACTGAATTGTTGTGCTGGTGAATAGATATGGGCAACCCGCAAAATGTTGCAAACACTACACTGCCAGTCAGATACCAAAGCTCTGAGGAAAGCACATTCTGAAGGCCAGACAGGCCACTGGAAGAGTCTTCTGGTGGCACATTCTGCTGCTGCAGCCTCCTGCAAAGAAAGCTCAGTTCTACACACAGCCAGCTGCAAGCTGGCATTCCACAAAGCAGCATGTAATCCCTTCAGAAATAGAGAGCAGCAGTGAAAGGGGCAAGGGTCCCCAGGGGGCCTGGGATATAGCAAGTGTCGCTCCTGAAAAAGATTCTGATAAAGTAAAAAATAATTTCTGTGTTGTTTACAAGAAATCGCCTTTCTTAAGAAGCATTTGCCTTAATCAGCTTTCATTTCTGCCATCTGCAGATGAGCTGATAAAAATAACATCCTGCATTAAATCTGGGAGGTGATTGTTGCTTCAGTAATCTACTTTCTTTCCATTCAATCTCATCATCCCCATCTTTTTTTAAGGAATACAGTTGCAGAGAGTAAGATCTATTTTTTATGTGAAGCTTTGTTTTAAGTTAGATGTTCCACTTGTTTGAAGTGGATGCCACCAGATCTGTGCAGTGTGTACATTTGAGCGTAGCTTTCTAGATAGCACAATAGAAGTGTTAAGTGTATTTAATGGTTGTGTGCTTTAATGTTCTGAAATAAAGGGAACTCTACTGCAATTATGTCTCATCTTATGAAATGTTCATGCTTTTGTAAACGATTCAGGATGCTCTTAAGCAGAAGGCATCTGATACACAATTCAGCTTGATCACTGTACAGCTACTTAGAGTTTAAAGAGGCTGTTAGGAGCTTGACAAGTAAGGTCYCTTTCATATTTTTTATTTTTAAATGGAGGACAACTATTTATAATATTTYCAAGATTCAACAGTCAAGAGTCAAATGGACTGAACTTCTTGTCATACACCAACAAAACTGTATCTCTCTAAGCCAATACATACTCCCCAGCAGCTATCAGGTTCCAAATCACACATTTGGTCAGTATTAGTTAAGGGTGGGATATTGGAGATTCTTTATTTCTCCAACCTGTTTGGCTTACAAACTGATGAATGGGTACTAGCTTTGCTTGACATGCAGAGTAGGAACTAAAGTCATTTAGTAGTCAAAATTTCAAATACTGGGACAAAAAACCAATCCATTCTGGAAAGAGGAGGGGAAATCCATCTGAAACCCTTGCAGCAAATCAATAAAGAAAGAAATGAACACATACTCTCTATTTGTAACTTTGGTAATATCATTAGGGTACACTTGGCCATAAACATTTTGAATTTCTAAAATTACTRTAGATAAAACACCACTATGAAGAACCAGCATCTAATAAGGTCTTASATTTGCACAGACACAACCCTGGTGTTAAAAGCTACAACTTTCTAGTCTGTCTTTTTCAGTTGGAGAAATACCTTTTAATTCATTACTCAACCTACAGTTCCACTCTGTTTTTCAACAAACGGCATYCTTTAGTTACTGTAATGGTACAAGAAATCTTGTCTTCAGAGGTAACTGCTAACATCCTGAGCTGAACATCCAGCAGCTAGAGCTGCTGTCTGCATGAGCAGCCTGGAAAAGCTGCACCACGGCCTTTCAGAGCTGACCCCCTTCCTGAGCAGGACATGAAGCAGTGTCAGAGCTGCCAGCCCCATCCCAGCACTGCCTCCCTCTGTGACACAACAAACTTGGCCCGCCCGTGGGACCTCAGGCACCAGGGAAGCTCCTACTAAAGCTGTTGTCAGGAGAAAGCTTGGAACTGTTCTTCCCAGCTCATCACCAGAACTCACAAGAAGAATTGCATTGAGCCTGGGCATGGAGGTGTGGTGTCAAGGAAATGGTTGCAGGTGTAAGGCCGATAGCTTTTCTTGTGCTGGTTCCTGCTGTATCTCCAAATACAGGAAGCTCAGCTGTAGAAGGGGACCATGTTCCTGTTTTGTTTGAAAAAAAAACAACTGTACCAGCAGCTGTCTGAAGAGCAGAGCTTAAGGAATCAGAGGATGTCWTTAGCATGGAGTTACACTGCCCAGTTTTGATCTCCCCTATTCCACAAGTCCAGCTCTGGGAGTGCTGACAAAGGTGGTTGTCTGTCAGGGTCTCATCTCCGATAYGGAGAGAATTACGTGAACAGTACAAAACTCTGAATTTTACCAATTATTACTAAATCCCAGGTGCCTTCTGGCACTACATTTGGTCTTACAGGTACCAATATACATTGGTTCCACMAAATAAGAACATTATGTGTGCTACTAGATTTTTTTTAGAAACAAAAAGTGTTAATAAGAGGTTCTTACACTGAAGGAGTATAAAGGAAAGATAACATGTTGTAGTGCTAATCACTCTTGCATTCAATTTGAGAAGTAAAATTCAGATTAAGGAGATGCTGGTCAGAGTAGCAGTTCTTCCCTTAAATAACAGGATCAGGCAAACCCCATTTCAAGTTTTCAGCAGATCACTGTCAGGCCTCAGGAAAATCTTCTGTTTTCTCCCACTGTCAGTAAGCTCTTTAATTAATAGTTTGACAGGCACAAAAGAATTAAACCCTTTGTTTAATCTTCTGTTTGAGAAAATTTGCWCTTTTTTCTATATGTAGAAACAACTGTTCTTGTGCTTTGGCTTTTTGCTGCTCTTCTTGTTACGGCATTATCCACTGTTGTGTTATCATTAACACTCAGAAGCTGACATTTGTACAAATGCATTTTTATTGTTTTAACAGAACCAAAGAAAGGTTGAAAACGTTAGACTATACAATACATTTTGGTTTATAAACAAAGTTTTATAGTGGTAAAACATTTCTAAGTGACATTCATGGTCTTGTTCAAATTTTTGCTGCACTTTGGGTCCAAAGACCARTAGTGTTCAAAAATGCAGTAATTGCATAAGGTGGACAAGTGTCTCKGCTTCTATCAACAGTTCGAGAACTTAGAGCAAACATTCTGGAAGAATATCAAAGGCAACCATGATTCATAAACTCTCCTGCAAACATTCCTCAATAAACAGAAAGTGATCTTTGGCATAAACAATTATGTGTTAAAGGCATTAGTAATATTGCATTAATATCATTCAAGCAACTAAACAGTGATGCTAAAATAATAATWAAAAAAACCTCACAGAGAAGCCTGGATGGGGGGAGCAGGATGAGGGGATGTGAGGAGCATTGAAAAGCAATACAGGAAGACTAWTTAGAAAATCCCTTTAAAATAATCCCTACCTATTCAGTGTTATTTACTATTAAATAGAAATTACTACATTAAAATTATGTTAAAAGATCTGGTATAAACCAACCAAATGCATCCAGGTTAAGGCTCTGGCACCCCTTCCTTCCTCTCCCTGTTGCAGGTAACTGCAGGAAGAGAGTACTAGGAAAGATTCTAAGTACCACATATTTTGTAATACCCAGACACAAGGAGCAAATTCAAGACGAACATGCACCWTCTCTGCTGAGGTCAGTTTGAGGCAGTTGTATTATCAACAGTTTAACTTCCCTTTTTAGWTAACAGTGCAATGAAGAGGGTGGAGGGGAGAAGGTCCAAGCGTAGAACTGCTGCAGGCAGGTAGAGGACAGCTGACTGTGCTGTGTCTCTTCCTTTGTGCTGTTAAGACTGAGAAGTTCTTCCACAAGGACTTCTACTCAARGTGGTTTGATCGTGCAACAATTCTCAGCAAATCAGCAAATTAATAGGGTATTACAAGGTCAGTGCTAATTTGGGCAAAAAACTGCAAGTGTTCCCTGCAAATGTAGAAACTCATTCCCAAATAAGTTTTCCTTTCTTTAGGGSAATTAAATGAAGGATAAAAGCATCACAAGTCTATTTTAGTAAGGGGAGGGAGTTTGGGGGGGTGTTATTTTTGCCATTTTGTTTGGGATTTTGTTTTTAAAAATACAGTAACACATTATTGAATTCACTGTTACTAGAACCWGAAAAAAAGATTTTGAGGCTCCRAACTCCACAAGCAATAAAAACAATGAGGTATGTGCAGCATTAGGAACCACCATTCGCTGGTGGCCACCAGACTACCTAAAGAGGCTTTCATGTCCCTGCAGAGCTCAGGTTTCAAAAAGCTTATGCATTGTTGGAAACAAGAGCAGTGAGGCTAAAGGTCTTCCTTAACTGAATATATTTTAATTTCTGCCTTTAGTGGCTGAAATAACATTAGGTGGAGGGAAGAGGGAAATAATTTCATGTGCTCATTTGGTTTTCAAAAAGAAAGAGCCAGCATGTGGCATTTTCTGGTCCTGGACATGCAGCTAGGTTAAGAGAACCAGGATTTTTCAGCTCARTACATTGCTGAAATGAGCAAGGAAAGACTTTCATGATTTAAGGTCTCCAGCCATAAGGYTCGAGCTGTCAACAGCGTGCCACTAACATCCTCTGCAAAATCTTTCAGTACAGTACGAGAGTTCTGGAATGCCTACCTACAGGGTGACAGGAGGGTGACAGAGACAGCTCCAGTTTCTGTTAAAGTACTGTTGCCAGGCAAGAATCAAAAGCAAAAAAAATTAGCATTTCAGACATGGAGTTTTAATCCTCAGTTTACAACTGTTCTGCTGCCCCACCTTCCCCTTTTAATTAAAAACCCCACACCTTCCATCATTTCTGCATGGTTTTCGAACAGCTAGTTAAAATCCTGTTGAAAAAYTGAACGATTCTGTATTAATGATTGTCCCTAAAAAACTGCCAAGTAACCAAGTGTCCTAAACTTTCAAGACAAGCATAAAGTGAGGTCCATGTTTTATATCATCACATGGAAACTACTGGAATATACAGTGCATAAATGAAATGTGCTTCTGGAAGTACAGAATTTACTAAGAGAACCTTGAAAKWAAAAAAAATAAAAAAGAACTGTCTACTGTTGGCAGCAAATTAGAGGTGTTTGATATCAAATGTGTTCCAAAGACATTTGAAATGCTTTCTCTTATAATTCATACCCTTAGAATGGGGCATTAGCATCAGCTAATCTTAAGCTCATGTATACAGCACCTTTTGCTGTTAATATCTCTCTTCTGTTAACAAAAAAGGCATTTTATGTTACAGAAAACAATACTTATGTGGCAAGTATTTACTGATACCATGGGGTCTTTCTGACCCAGCGAAGAGTGAATCCAGCATCTGTCCTTATCTTAATGGATGCTGCTTCAGCTTCTCTCACAGTTTCCTTCACAGACTGCATGAGATTCTGGGCATTATGAACCAACATCTCTGTTGCCTGTCAAGAAAAAAGGATTTCCAATCTATCAATAAATACCATTATTAGGACAGTAGCGTGTGACCTCTTTATGCACAAAGACTCCCTGTACAAGTATCTTAAGTCTGCTAATTGCTGACTTAAACAATGAAAATATAAGCCAATTAATTGTCTCTGGGAACCAGCAAATGTTATCCCGACTCAAAGCAAAACTTCCCCATTCSTCACCATATGCTTGTGCAAAATCTGAATAAAAGCCTAATGTCACTTAGTAGAACAGCCTGTCTCAGAAGCCAAAGCTGCAGGATTTCCGCTGCAGGGACTCGAGATGTTGGAAAAKAAACGTTTCCCCTGGAATCCACCCGAGGGCGCCCCTGCCCCTCCCAGGTCCAGCCTGCACCGTCTGCAGCGGCGAGTCCTTCCCGTGGCGTTTTATTGGCAAAGCAGGAGATAAGATGTTTATCGCAAAACTGGAACCCAAGTCGCTTTTTGACTTGTTCCTCTATTAAACTGTAGCGTTTGTGCCAGAAACCAAGGTGCTGTACTGAAACTATCTTCCCTAAACAGCTGCGGTAAGCTTCAACATCAAGTTCCCAGAACACATCCAATAGCACAGGTTGCATATTTGTCCCCATAAAAATGATCAACAAGTCCAGGCTACCATCAGTCTTTACATCTCTTACCTGTTCTGACTCTTCATCACTGATATTAGTTCTGCCCAGCATGGTAGCTTTCACAGTGGAGAGAATTTTCAGCTGTGTACTGATGGTTGGGATTCGCTCACAGACCTAAGTAACAGGGATAAAAACCACTTCACATTATAAATTGAACCAATGCATTATGTATCCATTTATTTCAGATAAAGTTTTTTTTCTTTTACTATTACAAAATGAATAACCATAGAGGGGATCATATAACCTTCAAGACTTTCTGATAAATATTGGTGGGATATTTTAATCTTATTTTACTTGCTTTGGGAATTTTTGGGATGGAGCCAACATTTTTCTGTTCTTCCAGATACTCCTCCAAGGTCTGCTTGGTCATGAATAGCATGATATATATATATTTGACTGGGACTGTAAAAGCTAAGAAGTGTTGCACTTCAGGTATTATTCTTTAATGCAAAGGATTGAGTATGTGAAATACAAAACAATGCAGACTTAGATCAGTATTTGTAGCTATTTTTACAAAAGCTCTTTCAACATCAAATTCTAAATGTACAGAATATATATATATTTATGTGAATATATATGTGTATATATATTCCTATGGGATCTAAAACTACAGAACTTGACAAGCCAAGGGAAGACAGCCATGATTTACTGGCACAACTGCTGTGCTCASCCACACTGAGGAACAGCACCAGCAGCGTTTGAGGCACTGACAGTTCACCCGTTACCTGCAGGAGGTTTGTCCTGATGCGCTTGTCCGTGCACTGCTTTGCCACCTCCTTGGCGAGCCGGGTGACCTCGTCGGACGCCTTGGCGATGTCCTTGGCACACTGGATGAGGGCGCGCTTGTTGCCGCTGCCGCCTCGGACCAGGCGCGACATCTCGGCCATGAGCAGCGCCATGCGCTTCGCCGCCGCGATGATGTCATTGCCCTGCACGGAACGAGACAGTCACTGCTCTGCAGCAGCGGGCAAACACCGCCCGGGCCGGACACGCGGGGTACAAACACTCTACCCAACGATGGAAGAACTATTTGTGAACACAGAAGAGGTTTCTTCAAGGAAYAGGGAAGAACTGTACTAACTACACATTTCAGACATTTTTTTTCTCAACACTCAGGAAAAAAGCTCACTTCAAAACTGAAAAAGAAGTTGTAGAGTGTTAGTTTGTCCATGGAAAGAGTTACTTCTCTGCTGACTATATTTTAAGATAAAACATGTTATTAGCATTTGAAATTCCAGATTTCCCACAAAAAATACTTTAATTGACAAAAAATAACCTGTGCTAAATAACCTGTTAAGCCAGTTATAGCTGTAGCAGTTGAGCATAAAATTTTCAGTGGTATCTAAAACTGAAGTTATTAAAGCATCAGCTATGCTGCTAATAATGCTAAAGGATAAATGGAAGAGAATCTGACATACAAAACTTTTTATCACAGGTAATGTGGAAATGGGATAAATTTTTTTAAGTTATTCCTTGAAAATATTTTTTATACAATCTCTCCCTTTAWAAAGTTTTAAAGTTATAAAGTTTCCAGTAGAGAGGAACATGGTAGTTCAAAAGATAACTAGTGATGTTTCTTATATTAAAATCCAGATTTCTTGTACATCAAACATTTCAGTCACAGAAGTACATCTGAGAAATATTTTAAATGTGAATTCATTGTGACCAAGGCAAAACAATTTCTCATACACTGTTCCAGAGAGAAACCTGGTGCAAGGGAAAGCAGACTAGCTGATTKATTGTTAGTAGTCTGTCATTACATTTACTACATCAATATTATTCCCCTTTGTYGAAAGTTGTTAGTCAAAAGTGAACTATTTGGTGCTTTGAAGCATTCCTGCTGTGGGGATGAAATATTAGCAAAGTGAGCTACTTTAGCATACTTTCCCTGGAATAATGCTACTGACGAAGTTCAGAGCAAGGAGTACACAGTAAGAACCCAAATGAGCCAAGGTATCCTCTCCSCTGTGCACACATTTCTGTGACTCACTACGAGCAAATTCCAGAAGATATCCCAGGCATTTTACAGATAGAGGTGACACAAACAGCTATTTTGAATGAACTATTCATTACCGTGACCTATTAGCTAAAGAGTTTGCTACTATAACCAGTTAGGATATAAATGACATAACACAAAGCTTTTCCATGTTTTCACGTAGAAGGATCAGTGTCTAACAAGTTATCCAAGCACCAGAATCTGAAAACAACAAGAACATTTTAAAAGCCCTTTTTATTAAAATGGTTTAGTATAACTATCTATGTAAGTATCACACACATACATRTGCACACACCCCTAACTTTTGTTTGTTATGGGACACCAACCTTATTCTTTGCAGCATGCTATGAAAAGTGCCCAGTCTTGCAAACAGTTGTGCTTAGACAGAAGACAGGCTACTTGTGAATGTCTGAACCTCATGTTAGATTTCCACTGGTTTCACATAGACAGGATCTCAATTCAGCAGCTAACAGCATTCAGTGCAGCTTCTTCAGAAAAGAATTCTCACATGACCAGCATTTGCAATACAGCCCAGTGCAAGCCAGCAGTCAGGCAGTCTCTTCCATAACCACTGCCATCCAAAGCCATTCCTTGTTGGAAGGTATGTTAATTGACGGAATCGATTGAGGCAAAGCACAACAGACACCTTAAATGACTTCTTGAATTCTGTACACTCTGCTGTATCCYGAAGTCATTAAGAAACCATTAACCATGGCTTCCCAGGTAGCCATATGAATGGAAAAAGGAACCAAAGGGGAGGAAGACAATCCCTATTACAACTTGAAAATTGCCATAACAAAGAAGACCAGGCAGATGCAAAAGGAGAGGAAGTCTCTGAATATTAATAAGTGACCCCAATCAAGCTTCAATCCGACACTGACAAACAGATCTAGCAAACTCGTGAAGCCACTCTCAGTCCTTAAAATGAAGTGCAGACACACTTATTCATTCAGGATGGCGGGGCCCAGCAGGGATCAAGAGTGATTGATGCAAATGTGTCAGCGTTCCAAGTGGCCGGATGCACGCGGATCAGTCCCCGGGGACTCAGGAGTACCTTACTAGACCACTTGGTTGCTTCCCGATGTAGAGACTGAGCAGCAGCCAGAATGGGCTGGTTAACGGGCTGATTGGTTGGCATTAACAGCAGCTCAGGCTCGTAATCATCTTCAATGTCATAGGGGAGAGTGAATTCAACATCTGCATCATCCTCCTCATCTATATCTACACCAGCCTCAGCCGCTTCATTAATGACAGTCACATCAGGCTTTGCAGGTGACAGCAAAGGTGGAGAAACAGGGGACAGTTAGTACAAGAAGCAGAATTTGGTAGAAGAGCACAAACTGAGCAGTTTTAGTGACCAAAACATCCTCTTGGTCTCTCAGGATCTGACAAGGCAGAGGCTGGATCAGGTCAAGGGGAGGAGGGGAAGGAATATAAGATTAGCAGAAARAAACCAACACTTCATCTGTGAACCAAAGGTACCAAAAATATTAAGAAATTGTAATTCAAATGTGCATCAATGTTTTCCATCTGAGCATTCAGCTTCTACAGACAGAGGCTGACCCACAGAACATTTTACTGGCAAGTCAACAATGAAATAAATGGATTTTCTGTCTCAATGGAAGCCGTTCTGACTGCCCAGGAGCAGGCACAGCAGCTGATGAGGTGGTATTTGTGCAGATACAAAGCTTTGTATGGAAGCCCATTCATATGTGYGATAAGAGCAGATAGCAGCACGAGCACAGAAAAACCACTGACAGTGCTTGATGTAGAGGGAAAACAAGAGGTGAGATGGAAGACATGGTAGGAGTGAGTACTGATGCACACACAGAACATGTAAACACGCAACACCGGGTTGGAAAAAGAGAAGATGATGTTGAATGCTATGAATACTGTGAATATTGAAGTTCTTAAAGAGGACTGAAATGGAATGAGTAAGAAAAGAGGGTTATGAAACATATGACATTGTTTTGCCACAATATGTTGTATCCGTCACCTTAAAAAAAAAAGAAAGAAAGAAGGTTCAAGAAAATTAATTGTGTTAGAGAAGATCTTGAGGAAGAGGTAACAATACAGGCATTAATAATACAGCAGCATTTCAATACAAGAATAGTCTACAAGTTTACTAACTGTATTACTTCAACTAAAGCCAAGTGTGACACAAGGTACTCTTAYCAAAAATCGTGCATTTTCAATTGTGTTTTGCTTAAGGTATGACCTTTTATAGAAAAAAACTCATTTATGTCAACAACAACATACAGGAATTTTGGAAGCTGTAACACTTGTAGGGCYTAATCAACTCACCTTCAAAGGTAGCTTTTATTTAAGTATAATCTAATGAAAAGTATCCAAATATCCCTCATTTTCTKATTTATCCAAATGAGGGAGAAGCCAGGGAAACTAAAGCAATAGCCATTGTTCAACTTGTGCTCCATGAGAAAAATGGAGTACATGAAAGCCCAGAAGCCACTCAATGAAGAGGAGCTTTTGTAAAGAAAGATTAAAACAGATTTTCATTCTTACAAGAATGAGCAATGTTATCAATATTTCTTAAAGGCTAAGTACTTGCTCACCCACCCCCACTTGACTACAGGGTAAAGAACCAGTAGACTGAAGTGATTCAAACAAAAAGGCAAAAGAGTTTGCACACAGCCTGTTTGACTTCATATGAGCAAAACCATCCAGTTCTGTTTTTCCAGGTCTAACCCATATTCCTCAGTAGCACTGGCCATCRATCCCTTTTCCAACCAATCAGGTGAGTTCAGAGACCACAAAAGGGTTTTTTTAAACTTCTTCCCCCAAAACATACTGTGAGAATAACTGAACTCCTATTGCTAAAATGRTACTGCTAAAAAAGAACTAGAAGGACAATTGCCAGGCTAACTTACTGGTTTGTTGGTCTCAAATTAAAGAAACAGTGATGAATACAGTGTTTTATAATCTAAAGTCACTGATCTTGCAGCTCTTTCATAATCAGCAAGRTGTTTGAAGGTCTGCTGCTTGGCTTTGCACTATTTAGTTTAGAATGCAGATAGTATATATATGGTAAAAGCATTTTATTACCTCCTCTGTATTGTTAAGTTACCAGTTCTGGGATTCCAACATCAAAACACTTTTAGGAAACTGAAATTAAGGCTTTTAGCCTCAAATTACCTTCTGAGATGACTAATACATTCCAGTACTGTCCCTTTAGTAATATAAAAATGTGTTTGGTATATCCAGAAATATGGGGAAAATATAACTTTTTATTTTGGATAAGAGACACCTAAACAGATTTGCAGAAACTTCTTTTGTGTTTTATCTGTACTTCCAAATATCTCCCTTTAGCGCAAAGCACTGAAGTGGATTCAGTAAACTATTCAAGTTTATCTCCTTACTCACCATCCAAATTAGTGGAGAGAAAAAAGGGGAGATTTTAAAAGCTGAATTCTGACCCTTTAATTTACACTTGCAGAAGCCTAAATCTCTGAAGTTCTTACTCAGCACTCAGCTTCTGCTAGAGGAAAAATGTAGCTCTYGGGGGAAGGAAAAAAGAGATAAGAGAGAAAAGCAAAACAAAGTGATAKTAGCATTTATGAGACCAACAAATTCACACTACTTAATCATAGCACTGAAATGGGAAGGAAATTCAGGCTTTCAGCCTTAATAGTGAAAGTGACTCACTCCAAAAAAAGAATGAGACCAGGCCACCTATATGTGGTCCTTTTCCCCATCATAAATGCATCAGATTAACTGCCAAGTAACTTGCAGCTTTTTCCAGAATTAAGACAACCCAGCTCATGATTCCTGCAGCTCATCTGTAACATCCATAAAGACTTTCCCAWACAGACTTTTCAAAGTCACTCAAATACAGCAATCAGCTTGTCAGCCTGCATAGACATAAGTATTAGTGACTCCCTAGGCAATACCAGCACCAAGGATCACAAACAGCTTAGCATAMAGGGCAGATTTGTGTTCCCAGGGGTATGTTAATAAAGCATTCTAGCAATTCAAAGAATTGGAACAGTTCACTGTGAACTTYAAGGGGTTTCTAATTCCTCCTTCAGCAGTGTTTTTACTATTTAGTYTATAAAAGACTCTGTCATGAGACGAAACATGCTGATCCTGAAAATAAAAATAAAAGATAATCCTTTTAGCACAAAAGCATTCATAACAACTTCTTACCTTGCTAGACCATTTCCGGGCTTCATCATGCAACTGCCTAGCAGCCATCATCATGGGCTGATTGATTGCTTCTCCTGCCTTTTGCTCTGGGAACTCTTCATCCTTTTCTTCAGGTGGTGGTGGTCTGGGTGGGGGAACCTCACCCTCTGGAAGYGGTGGTTTGGGAGGAGCAAGCTCATCAGTCAGCTAAGGAAGGCAAACATCTWATTGAGTGTGATGAAATGGAGCACAGATTGAGTAAAGGATGATATGGYAAGACACAATTGTATGACCTCAGGTCTTTTTCCAGTTTTTCAAGTGCACACTGTTAAACAAAATACCATGTTTTAATCTTTCCTTTTGAATAGTGAATCGGTATTTTTTAGACTTGAGCCACTATGCATGGCTGGCCAGAAAATACCTTTTATTTCTAAGGAATAATAATATTCTTAAGTAATTTCARTATAATCCACATGTCAATGACAACTGCATATTTTATTATGAGCTACCTGCACTTACATGAAGATGCTCAAGGTCAGGAGGAGGAGGGGGAAAATCTGGTTCCTGAGGCTGGAAGGCTTCTCTGACTTTGGCCACAGCTCCCAGAATTTTGTATCCAGAATCCAAGAAACTCTTCTGCAAACCTGAACAAAAATTCCATCACCAGTTTAATACCAATTTAATAGAACTCGGTAATATTTAGAACACTACCCCCAAAAACGACTTCTATACTGTCCTGTGCCATGTACACTTGTAAGCGTGTTTAAAAACTACCAAATTGTTTACAGTGGACTTGCATGCTTCAAATGTTACTGTCATATGCAACATGCATAAAATAAAGCCTTGGCTGAGTAATAGTCACTAGCCAAAGTAGTTCCCTGAACAATTTTTAGAATTAAAAAAAAATTTAATAGTTTCTGATATAAAAGTAGTACTACTTAAAACTAATAACAAATGCTTCTAATTAATGAATATGAAATCACATATACTAGAATGATGGATCCTTTTCCCTTGAATATGCCAAAGGCCTTTGATTGCATTTTGGAACAGCAGAATGCAGCAGTTAATGCTATGAGCTTGATTTCATCATTCTGAGATGTAAATGTACACAATATTTACATAAAAGGAGATACACAGCTGTATAAGAAAAAATGAGCACTACTTCACATCTCCAGTCCGTAAAAAGCACATTTTAAATGAGCTGATTGAATCCTTACCAGGATCAGAAATGTTGCCTGCCACAGCTTTAGCATCCATTACCATGGGGGATATGGTTTTGCTCAGCTCATCAGAGGCTGCTTTAACAGCCTCCCGAAATTTAGGGTCTTCTGAATTTTCCACCTCCCGTTTTGCGACCAGCAGGATGCGGTTTGCTCGTCTGGCAATGCTGGTGGCACCAGCTACCAACATCTGAGGTTGCATGTTGGCCATTGCAACTTTACATTTATCCAGGTCCTTCTTTATAGCCTCTTCTGATGCATCCAACAGAGATTTAGTATCAATGGCTTCATCCACCAACCCTAGAATAAAAGTTAAATATATTAATATTCTAGTTTCATCTGTGGAAAAGGATATTTGATATTCCAAAGATAGTTCAAAACCAGAAATGTAAGTATTTTAAAACCAGCGTGTGGGGAAGAGCAGATGAGGGCAAGGGAATCAGACCAAATGTACTACTGCAATTTAACTTGCAATTCTGTGACACCTCTGTGACAGTAACCRTGGTGAGAGCCTGTTAATGACACCCCAAGCTCTTACTCCTCCAGCATGGAATGTTYTTTCAGTCAAGAACTGGCTTACACAGTAAGTGCAGCAGAGATTCCTTCTTCCCACCAAATTTCCTTATGCATATTCAGTACCTTTTGTACTCTCCCATTCATTCCAAAGGAAAGATTTCTCTGGCTGTGCTTTTTACATAGGAGTGATTCACAGTGACAAGGCAGTGAGATTTAAAATATTGGAAGGGAGGAGGAGGTATAAACAGTCAGTGCAAAGGATCTGCACTTGGGAAGGCCTGAAACATTTCAGTTTTTCAGCAGGACCAGTAGCTTTGTTTTAYTCTCTGCATTCATCGAGCTGTTACAGTATTTTGAACAAGTTTTCTTTCCTTCACTTAATTATCTATCCTATTTCAACATGCCAAGATTATAGAGGAAAAAAAGCTCAAATTCACACAGTGATATCCTGCTAGAACRGCAGCTGCAATAAAAAGTGATGGTATTCTGGTTTTCCCACAAAAGAACTAAAGCAGAGTCAAAGAGCACATTCCCATTTTCTTCCTAYATTTTTAGTTCAGTCAGGACTCTTTGCATGTTTCATCAATCCAAACAGAATGGAGAAAAATCTATACAAGCTAGTTAGCCATAGGTAGGATGTTGAACAAAAATTCCTACTTTACCTGTCATTTTTTCTACATTATCAATCCATTGGTTTTTCATGGTCTCAAAATGTTCATAAGCAGCTTGATTTCCAGGATTTCTCAGGAGGATACGAGCTGCTGATACTACCTGCCAACAGAAGACATTTTTAATTATTAGTACATAAAGGCATTAAACGTGTTCTTGAAAATGTGGGGTTTTTTGCAGGACTGGATGGGTAGCTCCACATTTGAAAAACTAGTTCATTAATTCTAGGGCAACATCTAGCTCCTTGAAGATCTACAGTACTCCTGAAATTAGATGGCACAAGTACTTTTTTCTGAACTTCAACTACCTACTARTTTATCTTATAAACAACTTTTAAAAGCACTGAAGTACCATACTTACTACACTACCAAAATTTAGATAGAAGTTTATTTGGAGAAAAAAAGATCGATCATTTTTTCCACTTACATATTTTACTAAGGCTCAAAATCATTTTGTTTCAAGTATAAATGACAGACATTTCTGTCCAAAAGTTGAAGAGTAAAGCATGCCATTTAATCATTTTGTTCTACATGGTATCATGTATACAAATATTAGCCATCCCCCTTTAAGGGTGTCAGCACTGTGTTCCTTGTTGGTATTGACATCTTTCTTGGAGAAGAGAAGCATAAGCAGAATTCCCCAGAAGTCATCCCAGCCCTTTCAAAGCCCTCCACACCGAGGAAGCACCTGTGGGGTGAGTTCCCTTGCAGATTTCACGGTTGCCTGAATGCCCTCCACAGTAGTTTTATTTGCAGTTCCCACCGCAGCTGCTTTTTCTGCTGTAGCTCCCAGTCTAGCAGCATGGTTTTCAAAGTTTGCTGCTCTCTCATCAAACACCTAGTTGTCAGAAGAGAAAAAAAACATTAAAAAAGTCCTAACTTCCTTAACAGGATACATAATTTCTTCAAAGTGTCAGAGACACCATTATACCATCCCCACTTAATTCATCCTGAGAGGATGCAAAAGGACACAAAAGCTTTGAAGGCGTTTGATTTTTTTAATCTTTACATTACCAGACTTGCTTCTTTACTAACTCAGTGGGACAACGAAGGAGATAKTATATATACACTTTATAGCTTTGAGGTATGAAGTTCAATAATTCCTGATGACTACTGCTGCAAGAAAAACTCTGTTAAAACTATTTTAGCTCAGAGATACATCTTCAAACCCATAAACCAAAAGTAACCATATTTGAAAGATCAGTAAAGGGGTTTACCCTAAAAATTCATATTTCATACTGGAAAAAATACTCCCTCCTTTCACAGTCCTTAGATACTCAAGGAACAGAATACTTGGACAAAAAGTTACCCCGTCAAAAAGCTGAATTCTCCAAGGCCTTGGGAATCATTTTGATCATGTAGCCAAAAGCCAAAGTAGCTGGACAGTACTGCCAGACACTGCATTTTAGATACATCATGTGCAGCCAGTGGCTTGGAAGTACAGGAAACAATATCCAGCAAGAGAACAGGTTTAATCTGTTGATTAATTCTGGCATGAATTTGACTATTGCAATCAGCTTATGTAATGCTGAGATATAAAAATCCAGCAACTAGTGTGTCAGTGATTTTTGCACAAGAATTTCTAGCCCACTGAAGGAAATGTGGTACCAACAACASTGGGAGATATTTTTTTCTCTTTTACTGAAGTCAGGGACAACACTGTTCCCAAGGATATGCAATTCAGTCTCCAGGAGTCCAGAGAGATTTGTATAGYAATCATTATGTTGTCAGAATTAATAAGCATGCATCACAAACTTAGGAAAAAATACCAATTCATTTTTCAGAACACTGATTTATTTTTCAAAATATCAATTCAGGTAAACGGTAATTGAAGCTTTACACAGGAAGAAAACACCACCTGAGTATACTTGCCTCATCTCTGTTGGGAGCATCAGAGGGAGCAGTGGCTGCTACTGCTAACAATTTAATAGGAGTTGTGGTGTCACTAAAAACATCAGAAACTTCCTGGGTCATTGCCTCTTGCATTCGTGTTTTAAGATCCTTAAAAAAAGTGGAAAACTATTAGCATATGATAGAGGGATATAAAGTTGTAGGGGTTCAAATCCCATAAAACCTCTTGCAAAAAAAAGCCTATTCCAATGGCAGACATTAAGATAAAATTACCTTGAAAGTACRATCAGCTAATCACTTTTTACATTGAAATATACAAAGCTTACATACCACTCCTTGAAGCAGCATTAGAAGGAAAGATTTGAGATCTTGTCCCTCAAATTTGCAATTTGTATGCAAATAGTATGCTAGCATACTGTTTTCTTTTAAGAGAGACTTAARTTTTCTGTCTAAGTCGTTCATTTGAAGTTAACCCCTATGGCATGATAACAAGGCCTTTCTAGAAAGTTTGTTTTAAAACATCCCAGCTAAACCAGCAGGTGTTYTGCTGCACTTTTGTTTTCAGTGATGCCTCACACACACGAGGCTTTATCAGAGGAGTGCATGTGCGTCGGTGTAAGAAGAGCAGRTCCTTACCTTGAGCGAGTCCTGGAGCTGAGCAGCGATGGCCCTGGCCTGGGGGGACTCGCCCTCCCCTCGTGCAGCCAGCTCAGCCAGCTGAGCAGAGAGCTGGTCCACGCGGTCACACTTGGCCAGCAGGTCCTGCCGGTACGGGCCCATCATGATGTTGGCCAAACGCCGGCCTTCRGCAACCAGCCCCCGGATGGCTGCCTGGCCTGCAGGGGACAAGGGACCATCAGTGGCACAAAGAGCTCAGTGCACAAACCACATGCACCACCGAGTACTGCACACCTGTGTGCACACATCCACATTACTGGCTTTGAAGAACACTTGTCTAGGTAGTAGAACAGATCAGAAGCAATTTATCATTGAGTAATTACAGTCCAAAACCACAGAGGAATTCAACTGTCTCCAGTTTCCTTTTGCTTAATTTGGCAACTCTGGCTAGAGATGCATCCTTTCTAACTAGGGTGATCTGACAGAAATTAACCATGGCAGCTGTCAGGCATTTGTACAGAACTCATCTGTTGACTCCAAGAGAAAGCAGTTGCAAATTCCGAGTACTGCAATTCATCCCCACATCATTAGAAGATGAGCAGCAAGAGGGAGAGAAAAGACAAGTAGAAAACAGCTTAAAAAGGCAAATACCCTCTTCACAGAATTCCAGAAGCCATAAGTAAGAAATGTCAAGCAATCTGGATTGGAGAGGACAGTGGGGGTAGGGAACACCTTACAAAGCCTTCACAGTGTGTCAAAAGTTTTTCTGTAAAAATAAATTATTTTTAGTATGGGTAATTTCCTTCATTCACTTACAGATGCTTCCTGCTCTKTAAGTGAAAGATGCTCTGCTCTTCCTGAAAGAGCAGGAATGCAATTCTCTGTTCTTTCAATAATACAATAGTAGCATTCTTTTAAAAGAACTCATTGTGTATTAAGTCCAAAGACCTACTGAAGAATAATTTTAAGCCAATGCTAGCCCACAAGTAATCCAAGCTTGTGATCAAATTGTAAATTACTTAGGAAGTCTTCACAGTACTGGACTATCCAAGAATCACTCAGCACTGCTGTCTTTTTTTACATTCTTTATTAACTTCTCCTGTTAGTATCCTGCCAAGTGCCAGCAACTCCTGAAATGCAGTTAAATGCTCATTGAGAGCATGGTGGGATTATCAAATCTCCTTTCTCTTGAATTATTAGCATTCTCCTCAGATAACCCAGAAACCATACAAGAAGTGATACTTTAAGGTCAAGTTTATGAGTGTTCTTCTCTTCTCTGAAGGACTTAATTACTTAATTTGCTGGAGTAGGTATAAATTCAAATTTGAGATACAATATGTGCATAATAAGAAAAGCAAGCAGCAATTGTAAGTTTTTCTTCTCTACAGGACATGTTCTCCCATTCTTTAGGAAAGAACACAAAGAGACTCATGGGCCAGCTTAATTCTATAATTTCAGTCAGGACTTAGCTATAAATCTTCAAGTCTCCACATCAATGAAGACTCAATCCATCCTCAGCAGCTCAGGAACAGTAGTTTCTACCACAAAAATTAGTAACAAGTTTGATTGCAAATCTGGGAGGAAATCACAGAGAAACACTTACCTACTCCCCGATCAGCAACTGTAGGATTGTCTATCCACCTTTGAGCTTGTTCRATCTTGCCCTCCAAATGCACAGCTGCTTTAACTGGCCGAGTATTTGCTACAGCCCTGTTTGTTTTGGACTGTAAATTCTGAAGTGATGTAGCTATTTGCTTAGCCAAAGCACGGGCCTCAGGAGAGTCACCTTTCCCACTAAGGATTTTAAAAAAAAGAGTATAGTCATATAAAGATCATKTACAGATTGCCTCAAATTCAGCAGGAAGAGACAATGAAAGGTACTTGATCTTTTTAAACAAGATGAAATTTGACACTTGAGTTGAGACCCTGAGGAGCAATTCTGTGCTGTGGTACCTGGATATTACACATGTTCAACACAGCACTGAGGTGGGGGAAGGCATAGTAAAGTCATTGCCAATACTTGTGAGTGATTCCATTTGCCATTTCCATGGCTGTCTTACGAGCATCTGCACTGATGCCATATAGATTACAAGCAGAAAAATAAGCAGTCACAGACCAAAGGCTCTATACAAGCATGATAAAAGGTAGCACATTAAGACCTACAGCAGCTAAAGCTCAATAAAACCTTGATTAAAACATTAACTAATGAAGCAGGAAAAATATTTATTGCTATATTGCAATTGGCCTCGGATGAAGATCACAGTTTGTACAATAACTGTCTCTCCTCTTCCATTCTCAAGGAGCCTCTTTGCAAAAGTGATACAGAAATATAATTTCTGAAAGTGTTATCTTTTGCATAGTTTGCAGTTACAGCTTAGAACCCTGACAGTGTTAGAATTGGTAAATATTCCACCTTGATATTTAGTAAATTGCTTAGCAAAAAACAGTGATGACATCCATCTGTATAAACAAACTTWTATTTCCCATTACGTTGCTGTTTTGATAGCACAAACAAGCTCACTTCTGGCTTCAATTTGCTTGTCAAATATTCCATAGGCAGTAGAAAGAAAACACTTCAACGTAATACATCTCTGGTTACCTTTTTTTTTAAGTTAGCTAGTACAAGTTACGCTTCAAAATAGAAATCACTGGTCTGAACAACTAAAAAGAGGTTTTTTATTTTATTTATCAATATTCTGATCTTGCTTAGCATTATGAACTGCACATGAAAGTAATTCAGATAAATTAATGCTGATAAAACTAATACTCACTGTCGTCGCAGATCTGARAGTTTGGCTGTCAGAGCAGAGATTTCCCCCAAGGAACGAAGGATATCATCTCTTTCTTTAGGCTCCTCACAGAGTTCTGCAACTTTCCTTGCTTCAGCCATAATTCCCCGAATGTGCTCCTCTCCTTCACTGCCCCCATTAGGATCCGCAAGCCAATTCTTAATAGAAAGAAGTCATGTACAAATGAAGACAAAAAGTAATGGTAATTTCATAAATGCTGTCATAGAGTAAAAAAATACCAATACAGATTTCAAAACTTTATTTAACAGAAATTACTTCTCAGCAGCAATTTCTGTTTATTAGGTACCATGAAATCATTCTATTGTTTAATAGCTTTTCTGTTTTGAAAAAAATGTCAAAATTCATAAAATCTACCCAAAGATTTTACATTCCCTCTCTCTAMTCAACATTTGCCAATATTTTAGAAGTAAAATTGAACTTAGAGACTGAGGATGTGGCTTTCATAAAAAGCCAAAACAGATGCTCTTGAGCCCAATGGGTTCAGAGCTCTTCCTAAAAAGTCCATTACCATTTAATTTGATATATATGTAACAATTATGTATCTTTATGTATTGATAGTTATAGACATTTACACACATTTTGATAAGGTGTATAAATTGAAGGTTCATTATTTAATGACCATCATAATCATCAGTGGGCAATAGACTGACCATTGAGGGATACTAAGAATTACAAAAACAAAGGATCACTTGAAAGAAAATTTCATTAACATAATTTCGCTTCTGTYATTCATACGAACTTCTAAATCCTGAACTCCACTCCCAAAACAGAGCCCAAAGAAAGGGCTCTAGTTTTATCCACAATTAACTCTGTTCAATCTGAAATCCTTCTTTTMTTTAATAAGATTAGTTCTCTCTATTGAGAACACTCAACAGTGTTCCCATCATTTTAATTTAATAACCTTGAAATCTTTAGTAATAAGTTACCAAAAAGAGCATCAACTGAAGCAAAACTCACAGTATGCTGCAAATTACTGAATTTAAGGTTTTTCTTYGTTAAAGCAAGCATCCTCTCCATGTTCTTCCTATCAAGTAATTCTGTTTTGTTTGGAAACAACTACAGTAGTTAGGTATAAGAGCTCTACCARCAGTAATGTAATCATGTTCTGAAGTATTTATGAGTCACTAGAGGTACCTGAGCAGCATCAATCTTCTTAGCAATTGCCTGCTTAGAGTTGGTCATGGCCTCCAGTTTGCGGGCTGCATTCTCCACTTTGGCTGTGAGCAAGTCCAGACCTTGGGACACCTGCTGGGCTTTCTGCATAGCCATGGGTGTGGCACCCTGTCCTCTGCCCAAGACAAAAAGAGCACCACACATTCAACTCAGAACTAAAAAAAAAAAACTGTTTTCAAGTATTATTCAAGTTTTTCRAGAGTATTCCCAGCAATTATTGCAAGAGATACAGTATTTAATCAGATTTTGTTTCCTCACTAAGGAAACAAAAAATAACTGAAGAACATAAGAGATAAAAACTAAAAACATATTTTCCCTATTCCACCAAGTGACATATAGCATTCTCAGAGGAATAAACATTTTTGAAGTGTCACAAAGTAAGACTATTTAAGGATACAAATCCATTAAAGTATCCAGGACAAAGCTTCTTCTCATTTGTGGACTGTTGCAGAGTCAGAATCTATAGGAGTTAAAGTCTTGCCACATCCAAGTGAGGACAGCAAGACAATAAATAAAATAAATACAAAAATAAAACATCTTAGCTGCTTCAGTCATGTGGAACACAAGCTTCAGCAGAATTTGTCGATGAATGATRAACAACCACACCTCCACATGTAGTTTAACATCCAAAAAACCCTAGAAATTAGAATGTCCATCTTACAGTAATTGGGGTATATCCTTTTTGGAGAGCAGACTTAACAGGAGACTTTAAAATTTTATTTCTGCCAAGTTTGGGGGAAAGTTATGTGTTTGATAGTAAGCAAACTTGGAATGGTTACCTGAGCAATCCTGATCATCATTTATATCATTAACATTTCTCTTCAGAAAAAAACATACTTRTGAGAAAAAATTGAAGTAAAAAGGCAAAATACAGTTCTGGCCTGCTCTCCTACAGGTTAGGAAGTGACAACTGCAAGTTCAGARAAACCATTTCAATAGCACTAGAGAACTGTCCATGCACATAAGAGCTTTACCTGGCGCGGAGCTCAGCCAGCTGGTCAGTCATCTGCCCCAGGGTTTTGCACGTCCCCAGAATCTCTCTGCGCTCTTTGCCTGCACACAGCTCCCCTGCTTTGCCAGCTTCATCAAGGATCTGCCTGATGGCTTGCTCACCAGCATCCCCTGGGAYGCAGGGCCAGTTAGTACAACAAACAAAACATTCCTTCACATGTACGAAAAAACTACTGATGYTATCATCATGTCACAACACACTTTCAGTCATGAAAGTACATTTATCAAACACTGAGATATCCACGAGAAAACAACAATTCACATCCAACTTTTACGACTGTATTAGTTTGACTTCGATTTCAGAGGAAGTCAATCTTATAAGGTCTTTCAAAGTCCAAACCAAACAGGCATCTATCAAGTTTCATTTGCTTTCAAGGTACCTACAAAGTTAAACCTCTTACATAAGTAAAGGAGATTGCATGTAAGAATATTTATGTCAGATTTTCATATTAAAAGTTTTACATCAAGACTGATGGAAAAACACTCAAAGAGTCTGTCAGGCAAAATTATAAAGTTATAAAAATTTGAAAATACAAAAGAAGGGATTTTAAATATTAGCCATGGCTGCAATTAAGTATTGTTCAATGCAATTCATAAGTTWTTGGGTTTACTGCTGGAATGTAAATTAAGAGCATATGTGTATATTCTATGAAACATACATATTATACCATTGAGAAGCAGCAAAGCTTTCTAGGTCATTAGACACAACTGTTCAATTCCCAGTATCTAAAGGTATTTAATTAATGTAATAAATACATGCAGAATGTCTCTATGTATGGGTTATTAATGCTTAAAGGCAATTCTGTCTTAAACAACAGAAATAAGACAACCTCCAAGAATCAAAATACTTTCTGCTGTTATTTTTGTTTAAATATTACCTGGAGGTGCATTTGGATCTCTCAGCCAACCTTTTGCCTGATTCATCTTTGAATCTATTAAGGCTAAAGCTCTCTTCATGGCTTCAGTGTCCTTTACAAAAGAGAAACCAGCAAAATTATTCTCTCAACAAAAAATCAAGGCATAAGTAATCAACACAACCAAGCTGACAAAGATTCTATAAAGCAGATTCTACTCAGAAAAACACATCCATATATGCAGCTCAAAATCCATTTTCAAACTAGCAGGTCATAATTGCTTCTTYACAGTTAGAACAGACATTTTCATTTCACTCAAAATGCAAAAATGATGCATGCAATTTTAGTGATTTCTCTATTTCTTTACTTACTAGTGCTTTAATTTCTAACRTTGGAGCTCTAATAAGCACAGACCTTGGAGTTAGTTCCATTTTGCATCAGGGCATGTAGAAAAGTTGTAATGTAATTGGAGTAAACTTTTCAGAGATGGAAGGTGKCCACTGAATTTTACTACTTACTACAATGTAAGAGGCCACACATCCGCATTTTTCACCTGCTCTGCTRCTTAAAGTCAAACAGTTACTGTTTACAGAAAAATAAGACTAGCTAATTTCTGAAAGTCTCAGACAAACACATACATTTACATGTGATTGTTTGGAACTCTGAACTCCTCTGTCAGAAACAGAGAAGCTGTTTCTTTCACTGTTGTGCCACTACAATCCAACACCTCTGTCTGCAGGAGAAACAACCTCCCAGTTCTGATCTCTCTGCACACTCTGTTAATTGCTCATGTGCCATCTCTCCACTAGAGGCCACAAGTTTTCCATCTTATATAAAAGGAAGGACAGTGAAACAGTAACAAGTACCTAAGTAAAAAGTTGCAGAAAGGTCAAAATAGCTTTTGACCACACATATGATGGAAATTATCTGAAAAGCATCTAACATCCCATGATTAGCATACAGATGACTAAAAGAACCCCAGCTCTCACATTATCATCTGAATCAGAATGCCCATGTCCAATGCTTTTGTAGAGGAGCCTACTACCATCAGTGATCAGTATCTGCTACAGCATCTGACAACAGTAAAGAAATGCCACATTTTTTGGAGTTACTCATTTTGCATGCTTAGTCTTAAAGATACAACACTAAATATTCTGGCCTTTTTATTCAGGCATAGTCTGTGAGCTATTTGTAAGGTGCTATAATATAATTCAGCAATCAACTTTTGAAAATGTCATGTGGCACAGCTGAATACTTTTAACGGCTCTTTAATCCCAGCCTGAGAGAGAACACCAAAAGCAGAATTATTTTCACCCAGATGACTGGGTCTTAAATCTAGAAATTGCGTATCAGATCTCAGTTGGAACCTGACTGAAAAAGCTTCCAATAGGTGGGATATGCAGCTGGGGGCAGGAGATAGGCACATTATTTTAAGTCATCTTCTCTGTAGCTCGAGAATTGTGCATTTAATGTTTATAATGAGACAAGTAAATATTTATTTAAGTTTTCAAATATATACGTGAATCTTACTACCTATGATGTTACAGTTTTCTGTTGTTTTACATTGGGCTGAAGMCACTTCAGTTTGAAATGAATGGCCTACTTCAGGCCTGGCTACCCAAAAAGAACTTGAAACAAAGAACTGAATTTTTTAAAAGGCAATAGATGGTTCTTACTGTGTCAATAAGATGATAGGTGTGGGCAGAGAGGAGTGTTGGGAAAACTATCTTTGCCCCTCCCTTTTTACTCTCACAGGCTTTTATGTTGTCTCAGCTGCCTGCAGAGGAGCAGTTTCAGCACAATTATATAGAAGCCTCTGAATCTAAAGTGCAATATCAGAGGACAGAATCATGGGTGTTCTGGGTTTTACACTCATGACTCTGTAATTTCCAGTTCTACCCAAGTAGCAACAGGGTCCATCTGCCCAATATCATATGAAGTTACATAACTGGATTGCCCTGCAGGGTAGGTCTTGCTATTCTGTGTGACTTTGCACTCCTGTTGGCAAAACATTGTCCCCTTTTCCTCTTTGAAAAAATCTTGTGAAACCCTAGCTAGCAGTTGAAGTGTTTGAATACAACCGCTCTCAAAGCACCAATTGCCCATCTTCACAGCCCCAGAATCCCTCCCAGCTTTAGCCTGATAAGGAGTTTTCATTGCAATGAGCTGAGCAATGCAACAGAAAACTAGAATGCATCCTTAACTAGGTTTGTTGGTACAGCACTTGCATTTCTGCCAGAGCTATGTCTGTTGTCAGATACTTGGCAAGCAACAAAGGTGTAGCCATAAAAAAGGTCTGGATTTATCCCCTAATTCAGGCTATTAAGAATGAAGAAGCAAGACAAAAGCAGAAATACTCAGTCTGAAGAAACACAGCAACCTGCTCAAGGTCTCTCTCAATGCTTCAGTTTCTTGATAGTCCTGATTTCTGTAGCTTTTTAAACACTTTATTCCTCCCTTAACAGCTAAATATGCTAAAAATTTAACTCTTTGGGATTTGCCAAGAGAATATCAATTGCAATAATGAAAAACTAAAAAAAAAAAAAAATCCTACAGCTAGCCTGCAAAAAAATTCATATAGAATAGTTTTATCAGCAAAAATTGATTCTTTCCCTCCTCTCCCTGCCAACAGTTCCTCTGTCGGCAAACGGAATTTCATTAACAAAATCAGCACTGTTACTTTTTCAGAAGAGATAAACAGCTTCAGTTAATCAAGTTAAACAACTAGGGCAACACTGTCTRAAGGGAAAAGAGCAAGTTGGATTTTTTCCAAATCAATTCCTAAAGCAAATATTATTTAAGACACTTTTATGCATCATTTCTGYACTACCAAGAATTTTGAGTTTATTCATATAGCAGGTGGTATTGGCTCTGCYATGCAAACAAGCAAAATAAATCCTACACAATTCCTTGTTGGGTGTAAAACACAACCTCTGACTCAATAAAGTGGTCTAGTCTAAGGATATCTGCATTTCATGACCAAAGAAGGCAATGTTGGAGGAAATAGGCAAAGCCAGTGTTCTGGCAGGATAGATAGCTTAGTCACCATTCAGGGTTCAATGCTGAAAGATATTAAATATTTCTCAGCTTTTTACAATTGTTAACTCACTCCAATTCCATGGAAATGAAAGATGTTTGAATTGAGTATTACTTCAAATCTATTTTAAAAGAAATACTAAGAACATACAAGAGAAAATTGAATTCCTCTGTAAAATAAAAAATTCAAGGAAAAAAGTTCAAAGCTATGAATAAAAAAATAGAGGTTTTTTCCCCAAGATCTTGTCCAAGAATAGCATTTCAATACTAAAGCCTCATACTATTTTTGAAATCCAGTGTAAGCAGAGATTAATGCAATCCAGTAATATTAATGTGCATTCCAGAGTCTAGAAACACCAACAGAATAGTTTACCTAYGACTACAACTCCTACAAAATCTACAACTTTGGCTCCATGCCTTGTTCATTCTCAACTATCTCTAGACAGATTGTGATACTTCAAGGTATAAACAACTCAGGATAGAACAATAAACGTAAAATAAAATCCATCATCAGCAGTAGCATGTACTACACAGATAAAAATTCAAGGCYAGGCATCCCCAAACACCTTACTGTATTCCAGAAAAGTAAGGAAAAATCTTTCCTTTGACCACCAGGCACAAAATGCATGCAACAATAACCTCAATTACAACTAAATAGCTCCTTCATCTCCCTCCCAGCAAAACTATAAATTAACTGTTAGATGTGTGTGCAAAGACAGGGTAAGTCTGCAATAAGTGGCCATTTGCAATCTAGTTTCTGCTTCTTCAYCCCACTGCATTTTTCAATTCAAATGCTTTTTCATTGTTTCATTAATGCCCAGTGCTTCAGTGCCAACTCATCAGCATACCTTAATTCAAAACCAAAATACAATTTACAAGTTCTCAGTTCAGAACAAAATGATACTTTGACTATACTAATCCATACAACATATTTATGCATCAAGCATAATGACCGCTATTTTCCATTAGGAAATACTGCTAATATAGCAACTGTTTTCTTAATTAAATCCTTCATTAATCTGCCTCGCTAGTAAGATGAGTAAGAATTTCYCAAGGCTAAATTGCCACCTCTTTGCAACAGACATTTTTCTTTACCAGAAAAATTTCTGAATTTGTTGTGTAAAATCAAACTGTATTCATATTTCACAAAACACAGGAAAGCTTAAATCTAAAATTAAACTGAATTGGAAAAATGCCCATACAAGACTGCAGTTTTAGACCTAAATCTAAATACTGTGAACCATCTGAACTGAAGGAAGACTGTGGGTAAAACACYATGGAATAGACAAAATTCCTGACTTAATAAAGCTTTCTGGCCATGCAGAAAGCTTGTTCCTGCGTGACTGGACCCTTTATTTGTCACCACAGAGACTCATAACATAAATTAACACAAAAGCATTCAGCAAGAATGTGCTGTAAAATCTTGCCCTAACTCTAATCAGATTCAGAAAGAGTCTTTAATGCAGTTCAGCTTGCCATTGCCTTTCCTAGTGACAGCCAATGCTGCATACAGCCAGACAGAGCTATTAAGGACCTTCGAAAACTTTGTGTGTATTTACATAAGTATAWGTGCCAGTGTCATAGCTGGCACACAAATAAGTTGCACAACACACAGTCTGCACACAGCACAAAATCCCACAGACATGCTTTATTTGGGTTTAGTACAAGGCACAGGTGGAGGGTGTGGAAGAAAGCTTACCTTCTAAAGGTGAGAAAAGGGTAAGAAACAGGACAACAAAAACAAAGATGCATACAGTAGTTATAATAAGGAAGTGATAGTGACAAAGTAACTCAAGAGGCAAACTAAGGGCCGAGTGYCAAACAATATAGGCCAAAGTGATTTTATGTCTTGGTTACATCTGTTAGATTTCCTGTGAGATTTTGTTTGCTAACCTGTCTGGCTTCAGGTCTCAAATTCTTTAAAGATATTTATGTTTACTTGTGACTCATAGTATTAACCCTTAAAAAAACACCTTGGGCAATTTACTTTCAAGTACTCAAAAAAAAAAAAAAAAAAAAACTTGGCAGGAATTTCAGTTATGCAGCTGCATTTATTTGTAAGCCCACAACACTTTTATCATTCTTCTGCCAGGCCTGTCTTCTACACATTTCAGTATCTTCAATAGCACTTCAGAGCAGCACTTAGCTCCAGGTAAGTGGTTGCAGTCAGTCACACAGTTTAACACTGAGTTAGAAGGAATCAATCCTTCCCATATGCCAGCTCCATAGCCATCAGATTATCCAGCCAGTCTGTTCCATCTCATGTATTTCTTTGAAACATGATGAACACCAGAAATTTACTCCCATGTCCAGAATAAGAATGGAGCAGGGGGAAAAGGAGCAGGTGTTCAAAGAGGAATCACCCAAAACCGACTAAAATTTCTCAATTCCAAGCCTTTTGCACAAGGAATACAACAGTAGCCTACTATCTTTTCTAGCAGGAACTAGAAGGAAAATCTCAATTTCACTTATGAATGCCTAACTGTGAGATCAGTTGAACTTATAGAACAATAACTTTTATACCTAACTTCCCTCTGACAAAAACRGTTATGTAGGGTAGATATAAATAAGGAAAAATCCTTCTCTGAGTGGAATACACTATATTCCAGGACTTCCTAATGATGCCAAAACTAAAGTGTAAATAAATCTGTCTTCTGTTTGCCTACTGAATTGCAGTAAACCGCTGAACCACCTTCAAATGCCACACTAGTTTAACTCTGCTTACTCAGAGAATGCTCATTTTTAAAGACACATGAATATATCGATCTCTGAAGATATCTGACCTTGAAGAGATTATATGATATGGTTACATAGAGTTACAAAACTGAGGCACAAATACGTATTTCAGTGGTCTCAAAAATGCAAGTCTAGAAGGGTAAAGCACAGTAGACAAAAACTAGACTTCTATATACAAATGTAGATATGAAAATACCTTGCTTGCCCAGGCATCTTCATCCCAGGAAGTGAGCTGCAATACACGGATTATTTCATTTATCTCAGCACTCATTTTCTCTACTGTGAAATTGCGATTTTTCAAGGCCTCTTCTATTCCTTGGCTTTTAGAATTTTTTGTGGTTACAAAAATCTTCATAGCTGTGAAAAATACAGAGGTTAGAAAAAGGTATATGCAAGACCCAATCAGTGGTCAAGTTGACTTTTGACTGTATTTATGTGGTAATTTTTTTTTTTTGCAAGGACCATTTCATCTCAAAAAGATTGCAGTTTTAATACAAGAAGCACAGTTACTTGCAAGTGATTATAGATATCAAAATTATTTTTAATAAACATAAGACATTGAAACTCCAGTTCAAAATAGTAATTCAAATTAGCATTAAAAAAGAAAGCATAAATACCTGAAATAAGTACTGGCAATAGCTCCTTCACTGTATTCATGGAGTTTACCAGCATAACCCTATGTTCCTGATGAGTTAATTCCTGTTGTCTCTCGTCAATCATTTTGGCCATCTTTGTCATTCCTAAAAATAAAAGTAATAGGGCATTAAAACACTTGAGATTTCTAAACAAGAACAAGGCATAACGATTGATAAAAATTATTTTGAAGTTTAAAACATAATTTCTGTATTAGCAGCTGTTACTTTAAACRCATTTCAGATACCTCAGAAAAGTCACCTGTTCAAAACGTAGCCACTCTGTTAAGTAGAATGGACTCTGTGAAACAGAGTCATTCTTYCCAACAGAAAGTCTCAAAGCAACTGCTTTACCATTACCCCAACGTTCAAAACTTGGGTGAGGAAGGTGCTGAAGGGAACACAAAATAGTGGAAAATACTATACTTAGTATATTTATGAAAGACTGGAGCAAATCAAACCTGGCCCTAAATTCTTTGTGTAAGTCACCAAATCCTCCATTGTCTCTACCACTTCYGCCACAGTCAGATATTCCAATATTCCTTTGCAGACACGGATGATTTTACGGACCTAAAAAAGGAACATTCTGTTATTTCTTMGGTAAAGCTAAGTTACACTTAAATTAGAAATGCAAACCTGTTATTAGAACCGTTTACTTATAGCATTTGCTAACATGACAAATGAGCAATCACCAAGCTCTGAGATACTGAATAAATTACCCAAAATGCCATTAGTCAAGTGCTGTAATGATCAAGCTAATATTTAATCAGCTTTTGGCTATTCAGAAATGCAAAATCCTACTTCCAAAGTTTTCACTTCRTATGATAAATGAAGGACAGCATTGAGAAAATAGGTTATAAAGAACTTCATTTATTTATGCTCTCATGGTTGAAGGTTTTCTTTTCATCAATAAAAATATTTAAATCACAAAGCAAAACTACACAGAAGGCAGACTTCAAGATTTCAGAGGAAGGATTATTCACCATATAGTTTTACATATGGATAAAGCATTAGCCAGCATTCCAGCAGGGAAGATAGASCCAACATCTTCAACTTTCCAGAGAAAGTGAAGGCTGTACTTTAGTTACGTCTGGATCTCTGCCTCAGCTTAACTCTTTCAGTTCACATTTGATTCCAAAACACTTCTCAGTCTCCTAACCTCCTGAGCCACATTACTTCTGAAAACACTACATACAATTCTTATTGAAGTACAAGTTAATTAACATTTAATTTGTATCAACCACATGCACTGTTCAGCACCCAGAACAGATCAAAATTTCCTGTGAAAGCCATTTCGGTTCCTCCCAAAGTTAGTTTATATTGAAACACAGTAGGACAGACACATGCCAACTTAAGTACTTGTGAAAAGTCAAACATCCCTGACTAATRTCTTTCTTTTGGTTAATGAGCAGTTGTCAGGCATGTTCAACACAGCATTAACTTCACAAAAGTCAACTCATTTCCTAAACACTAGAAACAGATTAAAAGCTATTAACTTCCTTGAAATTCTGTCCTGTAACACTTCCATTAAAAACCACTTACAATAATGAGAATCACAACTGCCACAGAGACATCCCATAGCACTCTCCTCATTTCAGAGGAACATGCTAACAGTACCATGAGCTGATTAAACGAGGCTCACTGATGCCATGAGACTACTCAGAACAGCAACACAATTCCACAGATTAACAGATTGTTGCAAAATTAGGATTAACATCAACATTTCTAACGGCCTGAGCTTAATTTATTCATTGTAGCATGGCATTTCTTATTTAGAAATGCAAGACTCCATATCCTCAGAAAGAGCATCACAACCATGGTTTTGTTTTTAAAAAGAAATTTCAAACATAAGACATTTAAATTTCCTTGCAACTATGCAGTTTTTTGGCCATATGAGGTGGACAAGCAGCACTTCTCAGTCAGTTTTTGATTTGTGCAGCTGCCAAAACGCAGCAACTGTCAGATCTATCAGAATCCATCGTCTGCCTGACCAGCCAAGCAGTCCAAATTTGTATTACCTCCCATGCCCTCAGGCCAATTAAAYTGCCAGCGCTAATGACCTAGAAAAACAAGTAAAAAAGTAGCCTAGGGTTTTTGACTGAAGGGATACAGAAAATATAAGGATCAGTAATGGGTATGGTAAAGGAAATACAGAAAAGCATGAGTACAATCTCAGTTGATGAGATGTGGCCTTTCTGAGCAACAATCACAACATTATGTCATAAAAAGGCGCTCCTAACAAAACAGAGCAACAAGTCTAAGCTCCTCCTGACAGAAAGGAATGCAAAATATGCTTCCATTCAAGCTTAAATGATCAAAATCTCATTAATCTATTCAAGATTAGTTCAGTTTAGCTAATTTAGTTAGTGGGACATGTTAATTCACAATACTGTTGTGCAGACACCTATGTCAATCCTWTTGGGATTCCTACCTCTGCTTCATCGAATGTCAGAAGCAAGTCTGATGTTCCAGAAAGGATTCCTCTCGATCCGTCAATGAGATAGTCACGAGCTGGTACTGAGTAAGGATCTGCTTGCAGCATCTGGGCTGCCCGAACAAGTTTGGTGCAGGCATTCTCCACTCTGTGGAAAGCCAGCAGACAACAATGGCTGATTAGTTTCTGTCTGTATGACAACAGACTTGAGAAAATCCTGGATTTATTTTTAACTTGACCACTTGAATCACCACTGGAAAACTGATCATTCTACACCTTTATAATTTAAAAGCAAGAGTATTTATTGTATTTATTCCAACAACAAAGTAACCAGCAGCCATACAACACAGTTTTTCAGAAGTCACAGAGTCATTCCATGTAGGGAATGTTTTAAGTACCTCTTACAGAACACACAGTACAGTGTCATTAAAGACAGCTCCCAACCCAGCAAAATACCTTACATTCTTCATGACAAGGGCACGGAACAAAAMAATTATTCTTTTAGGACTTTGTAATCAAAGTAACTCCTAACTTCTATCAGCCTTGTATATGCATTGTTATTCAAGTAGCAATCATTATTAGTAAATATTAAATAATAGCTACACGTTAAGACAAAATAACATGGATTTAAGAAAACCAAGACACTGTGCCCTGYTCTTTAAAGCTGTAGTCCAGATCTTCAGAATGTTAACACTCACAGAAAGAGCATTTTAAATAGCCACAAAATGGAGTGGTAAGGGACAATGTTCAAATGCAGCTTGCAATTCCAGACAAAAGGTATTTACAATAAGAAAATCAGCTCTAAAACTGGGTTCCATCAAACCATTTAACACAATCATTTTAAAATATCAATAACCGGAAGACTGAAAATGTTTTGATCTTGTTCCCTTGTAATTACTTGGTAACACCTTAGCAAAATACAAAATTCAGACTTCACTTTCTTCACTTTTTTCACGKTAACTATGTTACTCAAGACTGAAGTTACTAATTCCACTGACTGTGACTTTCCTCCATTGTTTCCCATTTCCTTTTAGTGTAGTGTAATACACAGGCTCTGTGCATRTGAGTGCCATGTGCTCACTGAATAACATGAGGTTCCAACAAACATTAAACACTTTTATTACAGCAATGCTACCTCTTACCATCACTTTTGCATGCTTGTCACATTTTCYACTGACCACTTGGATCCACTCCTTTATCTTACTTTTAGTTAAGTACTTTTGGTAAGATACAGTTATCCCACTTTTCTCCCCTATGTTCTTTGCTAACACAAATATTAGATCTTAATGGTCATGTCAAAATTTAACTAGTAGAAATAAGACACCCATTACAGGAAAACACACTTTTGTCCAGAAAGTAAAGTTTTCATCTAATAGGTCCCTAGAGTAGATTGAATTGGACCAGCTGCATTATCATAACCTGCTCTTTTGGWGAGACATCTGCTCAGTGTATCAGATGGCGGGAACTCATAAGTGAACCAGAAAATGCAGAAGAACTTCAAGGCAGAAAGTGGAATGGTCTGCTCATTACTATGCAATGCACTGAGTTGTATTATCAAAGTCAACTGACTTCACTAAATTAGATTTCCATGCTTGCTTCTCACATTTATTCTTTTCAACTCTGCCAAGAAAGGGATTAAACAAATCACCTATTCARCCAGCTCAGAGACATAGGCTCAGAAATATTTAATTTCCTACAGTTTAATTTCATGGTTATCTGTTTAATACTAATAATTATCTCAAGGCCAGCTTTTTCATTTGTAAAAAAAAAAAGAATTAACATAGATGCATATTACACCASGAGTCACCATAATTAATGAAAAGAATGTTTCTAAAGTTTCAAATTTTTTTACGGTTGAACCTCTTAAAGATAAACTTTTTTATTTTCATAGTATGATGCCTATTTTGTATAAACTTCCTAATGSACATTAAATACTTCAGAAGTGTAAGCTACGTACAAGAAAAGCATAGCGGTGCTCAAAAATCAGACACCCTTCATCCCCTACAGAGCACACATGCTAGGAAGCAAAAGATTAGGAAAAAAAGTTATCAATTTACTTTCCCAACCAAAACATCAGTATGAACAACCAAAAACACCTAAAATATTCACTACAATTAACCCCTTTTTCTATCATAAGAAWCAAACATATTTGGAAATTTCAAATTCAAGTTCATTGCTGTGGTGAAGTTTCTAATCTCTGTACTATATTGCAACACGAAAAACCCAACAATAGAGCTTTATAAGAAAAGCGTATTTATTTCTGAGGCATGATTACAATAAAGCTATCTTAGCACCAGCCAAATTCTTCGTGGTGAAGACACTGGTCATGATATTTCTAATCATGCTATTTTGGGGAGTAAACCTAATTGCTGTTAAATGTATTCCTTATGAGATATGAGTAGAGAAGAAGTAGCTTATGCTAAACTATCATTTTAGTTTTTAGRTTTTAGGATTGTCCTCTGCTTTTCTCAGAGTTTGTTTTCCAGTTTAACCACAACACTTTACATTACTTGCAGTTCTAGAAACATAAAGTGAAAAGCAAATATTTTACATTGACAATAATTTGTCAATACAGGTACGAGCAATGCAGATAAAGCTTTGCTGCCAAAATAATGTTAACACACAATAGCATTGTTGCTTGATTTATTAAATGAGCTTGTGCATGTAAGTTAAATATAAACTTTTATTCTCAGTGTAAACAAATAGCCTAACCCTATTCTTTGCCTAGAGACTGCATTCTTCCCATCTTTATAAAAGAAGCATAACAAGTAATAGGAACACATTGCAAAACATCTGATGTAAATTATATGCATTACTCATACTCCCTGGTGATTAAGGCAATTAAGATAGAGTTTAAAAATGCTGAGTTCTTTAAGTCAACAGTTCCAATGTGGCTTATGTYAGTAGCAAGTGAAGGGATGCATGATGGCTTTTCAACAGCTAGCAACTTATTTTGCTGCACAATCAYACTCCAACTGAAAAGCTTTACAGATTACCTTAATATATATTCATTATGAGCCCTCACCACCAGTATCACCAGAAACCTTTCAAAAGAATAAACAGATCTTCTCTCCATCCTCCAAGACTGGTGATCCTTTTGATAAAGGAAATACAACCAGGGAATGCAGTGCTAGCACATGTGTACTGCTTCTTACCCATCATCCATGTGACAGTACAAAYTCTGCTGGAGCACTCCCTTAAAAAGGAATGCCAATTCCTGAACTAATGCTTTAGGAACAAAGCCAAAGAAAGACCCTCATCTGCTTCAATTCTTGCATCTAAATTCTATCCTTTACAGCAGTAAAATATAAGGCTCCCTTTGTAGCTCCCCTATGATTATCACTTGTCCCCATAAGCAAGCTATCTGTGACAATACACTCCACAGTGTTAACAAGAAACTGTTAATATTAACTAATTCATTTTTATATAAATCCCAGATTAACAAAAAACCCACAATTGAAATTGGTTACCATTCATTAAAGCCATTGAACATTCCTAACTCATGTTACTGCATCTAGGTTAGTAAGTACTATGTGAAGAGGGTGTCATTACTCTGACAGATAGCTTTGGTTCCCATTTTATAGTATATCATAGCTCAAGCAGTCATGAATTGCTGCAGAGAAAGTTCAAGCCCCTGACAAAGTGGTACTATTTAGCAGTGCTTCACAATTCGCTACATTTTGATCAAAGGCTGAATACAGATAGCAATTTAAAAAAAAATCTCTTTTCCTTCATCCCTTACTCATCTAGGTGAACAACAAGCTGGAAATGAACTAAAAACTCCMCACATCCTAGAAAATCAGCACAATCAAAATTACATGTTTGCATACAATTCATCAAGAAGCAAGAAAAAAGCTTTGATCTTATTTCATTAAATAAACGCTCCCCTCAAAAAGACCAAACCCCTCTACAGCCGCACAAGATCACACACCAGGAACACAGCATGATAAATACTGTAGTGGATTGTATCAAAGGCCCATTTAGCTCAGTATCCTGCCTCCAAAAGCAGCTGCAAGTAAAAGCCTGAGGAAGGTTAAGAACAGGATAAGCATTTACCATACTTCCTCTAGGCACTCTCCCATCCTTCAACTATTTTCAGTTCCTGCGATTTCCTGTAGTCTATTTGATAACCCACAATGGAKTCCTCTAAGTACTTAGCTATTAAACTCCAAACCCACATAAAGAGTTTTAACAGTACAGGACTACAAGACCAGCTGTACAAAACATTTCTCYCTATTGTTGGCTTACTAACTGCTTGCTTAAAGCAATTCCCCAGTCAAGTTCTTATACAGGAAAAGTACAAGTTTCCATTTTCTCCATGCAACTCATACGTCCTTAGACATTGTCAGGGCCTCAATCCCCTCTGTCACTTATCCCAGGCTGAAGAGTTCCAGCCTACTCAGCTTTGCCTCACACTTTTTGACCACTATGAACAGGTCAGGATGSTCCCACCAATGTATARYAGTTCCAAGACCTTGCGCACTATTGGTAATGGTCATTTCAATCATCCTGTCTGACATTGGACCTGCTGCTCTCCCAAGTGTGCATAATTTCAGATATTTAAAAATAATTTAATACACACTTAACATCAAGTCACTTCAATTAATAAGGTACTGTAATTTCCTAAAGTCATCCATTAACCTCTCTGCCCTGCATAAGACTTGGAGTCATCAGCTGCCTCACAAGTTAGCCTGATCTCCAGAGTATTTATTAACATGGTGAAAAGCAAAATCCCAACTGAGACCTCCACAGTCCTATTGATTGCCTTCTGCCATTGTCAGGGTTAACTCAATCATCTTTTCTCCCACTTTCAATTTTCTCTTTTTCATATAAAAATTTTTCTAACTATCCTGCAGCTACTTCACTTTCTTAAAAGCCTCTAGACTCCACCAAGTTTAGAAATCAATGTACATTGTATCATCTGGACTACCCTTTCCCCTGTTTGTATTATTTCTAAGAATACCGACAGATTTATAAGGCAGAATTTCCCTCCACAGAAACACTGTCAATTCACCCAAAGCATACCATGTATGGAGGTGGAGTTTCTCTCTTCTCTAATACAGAATTTCTAATCATTTCCTCCAAACGTACATCATATCTGTAGCCCTCCTGTTCCCCAGATTCCCTAGAAAGTTTCCCAGGCTGTACCATCACTTTGATTGACATACKGGTGGTCTCAAGTGACAGACTACTTCATTAATAATTCATCTATTTCATTCTTGAACTAATATGCTAATATCACCTGGTCCTAAGTATTATTTTAATTRCTGATTTTGTCAACCTACAATGCAATAAACTAAATCCTTTTTCACTGACTACCATAAATTTTCTTTTTAGACATTATGTCCCTTCTCCCTTTTACTGTTCTCCCAGTCGTCTCAATGCTTTCTTGTTGTGAYTATCTGCCTGTTTGGTGCTTGTTAATAACAGTAAAATATTCAGTTATTGCATAGACACTGGACAGCACTAACAAAGGGGTTACTACAGGCAGTAGATTGTAGAGGCAAGTTACTTCAATAGAAGTCTTCCAGGTGGCAATAAGCAGCTTGGGAATTCCACAACAAGGTGTRATGTATCATTTTTAAGGCTTAAGGCAACAGAAGGAGAAAGTCAGTTGTCCTTCACACCAAGACATAGAATTCAGAATGTCTGCTATAACTGAACTTACGGTCTGCTACACTGCAGTAAGTCACTTCTTCAAATGTCTTTGATTTCCAGGCAATTATGTTATCAGCTGCCTATATTGACAAATTCACATTTTTTCCATCAGCTAAATAAATAAAAAAAAGATTGAGACACCATATTGTCTCTGACACTGTTAGGCAAACCTACAGTGGCACACAGCTAAGTACCATTATTAGTCTGATTTATTTTTGTAATTATTTTTAAAGGAAGAAATAGCATATATACATATGGCACACTCATGTAYACAGAACATATCAGGACAAGACACTACTGCCAAAAACGTTGTTGCTCACATTGAAATAGGTTTCCTTTACCCACAATACAAGATTTACAATAAAATTAGTTTACTTGATAAATGCTGGTGGCATATCCCTTTTCAAGATCTGGTCTTCTGTTGTCTGCACAGTCTCTTTTCCAACCTGCAGGAGAAAAAAAGACATACTTAAGAATCAAAATGTCGATGTCAAGGCCAGATAAAAGCAAATAGTGAAATACCAATGAAAATGCTTTGCACTAATGACAGCTCCTTTCATTTCWGGTTCCTCCTGTTGTGTCTTCTTTTGAGAGAACTATACACTGTGGTTAACTTAATGTTTTATAAATCATAAATTGTTTCCTATCAATATTTCTACAAAATAAATAGGGACACAAAAATGCACATTTTTCCCTCTTYCTATTCCCCATAGGAACAATAATCTCTTTTTCCCCTGCATTTAGTTGTAAAAACTTAATCACTGAATCTGAGAATTTCCCTCTGTCCTAATCCCCACAAGTCAAAAATCAAGTTCTAAGGTAAAAAATTTATCCCGCTTTCGCTAGTGCACTTAGTCTATTAGAAAAATGGAGTTAATTACTGAGAAAACACCCCACAACCACACCATCCTTTAGGCGAAAAATAATTATGCAGAAGCTAATAAAGAAAGACAGAGTAAGATCTGGAGTTTTCTATACACTAGCTCTTGTGTTACACAATAGAAGTCTTTATAATTGGTAGCTGACTCTCTGAACTGTGAGATCACCAACTTGACAAAATATTTCCAGCTCCTTTGTTCGCTGTATTTTCCAGCTGAATAAGCTATTCAGAAAGGCATCACAAAGCAGAAGGTCTTTAAACCAGACACTACTTTGTGTTAAGAGCTGCCAGACCTGCTCAAGCTAGACACGATAGCCCTGAAAATCCCTGATCAGCTGGTGCTTAAGGATTCACTGGGTTTGGACAGAAGATGTAGTGTGTCAGTATGCACAGTRCTTGCCAATTCTAATGTAGTACAGCTTTCCAGAACCGCTGCTTCCTTGCAAACTTTTGCTGCTTGCCAAAAATGGCATCTCCCTGGTCTGCTCCTTTCAGAGGAACTTCACAGAAGTACATYGGCCTGAGTGTTTTATTTGCTTCAAACAGTTTCAGGCTAGCCTACTTCATTTTTTCAAAATCTATTTGTACTACACTCACAATTAGTCACACAGATATTTAAAAGCAATGAAAGGAAGAGCAAAAAAAGTTAAAAGGTCTTGAATTTCATGGTCGGTTTTTGTCTCTTGTGTACACAGTAGGTTCACAAACAATCATGCACCCTGCTAGTGCACAGCACTGCAGTGTTGCTTTGACTCCTGAACTTTGTGTCAGACCTCAGGAATATGATTCTAAATGTATCTCATGACCCACCAGATAATAAGCCTGCTTTTTTGGAATTATTTTTCCTGCACTCATGAAACCCATGCTTTGGCAGCTACTAGATAGATAGATAGATAGATAGATAGATAGATAGATAGATAGATAGATAGATAGATATAGACAATTTTTGCTATAGCTAGCTAGGATCTTTACTCTTCAAATGAAAGCAGCATATAAGAGATGAGTCAACTCCACTCCTGTTGTTTGGGAGGAGGTTTTTGTGGAGATTTTTAACCTCAAAAAACTGTCCTAAACTCCAATGACATTTCTATTCCAAGTCCATCCATATCTTCAGCACTGTATGCCACAGACAGAACACAAGATTCCRAGCAGCTTCTGTGATGCCTCAATTAAAAAGATCTACCACTTTTCTAGTAAAATGCCTTTCAGCATTATTTTAAGCACCAATACAGGATGCACTCCCTGAATCTGTTTAAATAGAAAACCTTGCTTGTATGGCTGTAATTCAATCTTTTGAGTTGTTGCTCTTTGCAGTTGTAGCCAAGGTATAGAAACAGCATGTAAAGAACGAAAGCACTCCACATTACATTTAACAGGCAAAGTCTCAAAACATGAAGAGACCTTCATGAGTAAAATATCCGCAAAAAAGTGGGTTTGCCCTTCTAGCCTTGTGGTTAGAGACTTTGGTTGCTTTGTTTCCTACTTAGTTTTCACAAGATCYTGTTTCTTCAGATTCAACTTTACATAGCCAAGCAAATTTTGGACACATTGCAGTGTAACACAAGATAACTCAACTACTCTTTTTACAATCCAGTACTAAGGAAATGAGGAATCTTTTTTCCCCCTTGAAGATGCAGTATCTACACATTCTTATTTCAGACAGGCACTTTGTCCAGCCTCCTGCTAATACGAAACAATTATCTCAGAAACATGTATTTTTTTTTTTATAGCCAACAGTACACACGTAGAAAATCATGATTTCCACCTGGGTTTTAGATATTCTTATCTCCTAAGAAGATCTTTCCTTAACTAACTGGGAAGTGCCAGAATGATACGAAACTTCTGCTATTACGCAATGCTGGAGTGGCAATTACTCGTGGTTCCAAAAAAACTGCCCTAACACAGTAAAATGACCATAACTTCAACCCATCCATATTAATTTACAAGCTCTTTGGACATTAGAGACAAATCAGTTGAATAAAGAGTGAGCTATTTTCCCTCTTGCTCCCATCTCAAAAAAGCACAGAATAAGAGGCAGAGAAGTCAAGAAATTTAAAGGACATGGGTCACACACAAGACAGAGGGCATATATGGCCAATGAAAAAACTTTCTAGGAATGTAGCTACAGGCAGGAGGAAGAGATTGAAGTTTCCTGCCGCTTTTGGCTTTTAACCTTGTTTATAAGTCTCCTGCAAGTCCTATTTGTTACTAATTAGTAGAAGACCAGTATGCTTCAAGTTTTCTGATGAGAATTTTCTCTATGGAAAGAAAGAAGACAATGTTTTCATCGGGCCAAGTTTCTTCCTTATAACGAGTTTTGCAGTTTTTTTATCATGTCTGCTTCTACTGCAGGAAAAACAAGACCAAGTCCCTAGCCCCCATTCTTAGCCTGCTGGACATAGCAAACAGCTGCTCAGTGAGAAGGAGAAATAATTTCAGCTTCTGTAATTCTCCAAGAGTTTGTTTAAACAGACACCACAAGCACCCAGTAATATCTAACCCTTTTTACTTCTGCAGTTTGAAAGAACAAACTGCACGTATCATATCAAATAAAACACAAATAATTAAGATGGAGTTTATTGTTTGAGGGTCATTTTATTTAATTTTTTTTAAACGAAGATTCTTCTGAATGCCTATGTTGACAATACCAGTTTGACAATTTGCCAAATGCTGGAAGTGAAATTTTCCTCACAGCTTATATGATTTCCCCTGTTAAAAGGGAAGATGACCTTAGAAGAATTAGTTCTTGCAATGTTCCAGAAGCTTAATTTAAAACATCCATCATTTTAGCAAGGAGCCTAAAAATATTCCCTCATCATCATCCAGTGAACACATGAAAGCCCTGGCTGTTACACTAGCAGAGCCCCACGTTTCCCTCAAGRAATAAGCTACAGAATGAGTTTTGCTTGACAACCCCAAGTGCCACACAAAGTGACCTAGGTCCATATGCTACAAAAGTAACTTTACCATAGGACAACTCACATAAAAATCCACTACCTGGTTTATGCTTTCTTCCATGTTTTGCMAGCTTTCAGGAAGGATTGTGATACAATACTAGGAGCATTAAATCTCCCCMAAAAAATTTTGTTCACCAGTTCAATCCCATCAAGTTCCCTGTAACTTCTTTCCCAATTTCTTTAGATGTCCTGAAAAAATAAACTTAAGTATTTGCTTTAATTCTACAATGACAACAGTCTCTGCATTGTTTTTGGGAAGAAGCTATGGCAGCAAAGAGAAGCAAAACAGGACTTGGCTGTTTATCTTGGTTCTTGTCAGTCACAGTATTTTAAATGCAACCCACACGGTCTTTACTTACACTATCAAGAACATCCAGTTGYCAGTATTCCAATTTATTTCACTCAGCACTTTTAGAAATCCAGGTGTTGAAGTGAATGTTTATCACACCTTAACCCTTAGCTACCATAATCCATGTTGTAAATGTGCCACAACAGGATTRTGTACATGCTGGCATAGCAGCCTAGCGTCAGACTTCGTCAGACGCAAGTCAAAGAGCTTTGGGATACATCATTAAATTCTTTTGTCTYATCTAAATTCACAAGTCACTCAAAAATTATCATATGCAAATAACTTCCAGTAAAGACAGGATTTTTTCCAAATTGTGAACAGAAAAGTCATGCAATGTCAAAGTGTTTTTTAAAAAAATCAGAGTGAACAGGTTTACAGGTCACTCATCACAATTTCATTCTTCTCATACAGTAAGACTGAAAAAAGTGAGTCTTAAGCTACAATTCTTTCAAAACCACAGAATTCTGTTTTTCTTTCAAAGGTTCTCAGAAGCCTTAACAAAACAAATTTCCAATACCTTCATCATTCTACTCATCTTGAACCATAGATGGGATTGATATGTCACTTGCAATTAGTGAGCTTACCACTGGTTAAAGAAGCTTCAGAATTTTCTACTTCTCTGTAGGGAAACAGGCCAATAAGAGATTGAAAAAAAAATCCAAAGAAATGTGCAGCTAAATTCACCTCCTGCTTTTAGTTCACACCAAATGAACAATGCACATATACCAGCAGTGTATCAGTCATGAATTTTCCTTGAAGCCAGGCATGACACCAAAGAGACTGCTGAATCAGAGCATATCTATTTGTCCTTCCAGTTAGCATGGAAGCTGTGCACTGACTCCTGCTTTTCTCAGGATTGCCCTGGAGACTGCATTCCAGGCATAGCAAGGTGCAATTTCAAAGTCATCTGGCAAACAAATTGGAACACACCAGCCATCTGGTCCCCAACAGCAACAAACTGACCTACCTGTCTACACTGGCAATTAAGAAAAATTTAACTGGCTTAAGGCTAAGGAAATCCTGTTGTCCGCACAAAATACAGAACTACGAGAAAAGAACCACATGGAAAACAGAAACCAGCATCATTTGGATACCAAATCATGCAGAGTTAGTACCTACTAATTTTTTTTTTTTTTACCAGTACAGAGCTGAGGCCTGGATGGCTTGGCTAATTACGGGCTAATTAATTTAACAGAAGGGTAAAAACCACAAACTGATTATGTGAGACTTTTTACAGAACTATTATAATTTGGAAATAAG